AGGGCGCAGGAGAATTGAGGAAGCTCTGAATAATCACCGCGGAGGTCAGATGGTAGAAGTCAGGAGGCATGGAAGTGTTCGTATTCACTGAAAAAATAATTTGTACCTGTTCACCTTCGAATGGAGGAATGCATCTTTTCACATTAAATGACCTGCTAAGACATCTTGGTGAGGGATTGATGAGGGCGCAGAGAGAGTTGAGGAAGCTCTTTGAATAATCACCGCTGGAGGTCAGATGGTAGAAGTCAGGAGGCATGGAAGTGGTCGTATTCACTGAAAAAATAATTTGTAGCTGTTCACCTTCAAATGGAGGAATGCTTCTTTTTACATTGACTGACCTGCTAAGAATCACATCTGGGTGTAGGATGTGATGAGGGGAGGAGAATTGAGGAAGCTCTGAATAATCACCGCGGAGGTCAGATGGTAGAAGTCAGGAGGCATGGAAGTGTTCGTATTCACTGAAAAAAATAATTTGTACCTGTTCACCTTCGAATGGAGGAATGCATCTTTTCACATTAGACTGACCTGCTAAGAATCACATCTGGGTGTAGGATGTGATGAAGGGCGCAGGAGAGTTGAGGAAGCTCTGAATAATCACCGCTGGAGGTCAGATGGTAGAAGTCAGGAGGCATGGAAGTGTTCGTATTCACTGAAAAAATAATTTGTACCTGTTCACCTTCGAATGGAGGAATGCATCCTTTCACATGGATTGACTGATAGAATGACTTTGCGTGAAGATTGATGAGGGCGCAGGAGAATTGAGGAAGCTCTGAATAATCACCGCGGAGGTCAGATGGTAGAAGTCAGGAGGCATGGAAGTGTTCGTATTCACTGAAAAAATAATTTGTACTGTGTTCACCTTCGAATGGAGAAAGCATTTTTACATTGACTGACCTGCTAAGAATCACATCTGGGTGTAGGATGTGATGAAGGGCGCAGGAGAGTTGAGGACGCTTTGAATAATCACCGCTGGAGGTCAGATGGTAGAAGTCAGGAGGCATGGAAGTGGTCGTATTCACTGAAAAAATAATTTGTAGCTGTTCACCTTCAAATGGAGGAATGCTTCTTTTTACATTGACTGACCTGCTAAGAATCACATCTGGGTGTAGGATGTGATGAAGGGCGCAGGAGAGTTGAGGACGCTTTGAGTAATCACCGCTGGAGGTCAGATGGTAGAAGTCAGGAGGCATGGAAGTGGTCGTATTCACTGAAAAAATAATTTGTAGCTGTTCACCTTCAAATGGAGGAATGCTTCTTTTTACATTGACTGACCTGCTAAGAATCACATCTGGGTGTAGGAATGTGATGAAGCGGCAGGAGAATTGAGGAAGGCTCTGAATAATCACCGCGGGAGGTCAGATGGTAGAAGTCAGGAGGCATGGAAGTGTTCGTATTCACTCTGAAAAAATAATTTGTAGCTGTTCACCTTCAAATGGAGGAATGCTTCTTTTTACATTGACTGACCTGCTAAGAATCACATCTGGGTGTAGGATGTGATGAAGGGCGCAGGAGAGTTGAGGACGCTTTGAGTAATCACCGCTGGAGGTCAGATGGTAGAAGTCAGGAGGCATGGAAGTGGTCGTATTCACTGAAAAAATAATTTGTAGCTGTTCACCTTCAAATGGAGGAATGCTTCTTTTTACATTGACTGACCTGCTAAGAATCACATCTGGGTGTAGGATGTGATGAAGGGCGCAGGAGAGTTGAGAACGCTTTGAGTAATCACCGCTGGAGGTCAGATGGTAGAAGTCAGGAGGCATGGAAGTGGTCGTATTCACTGAAAAAAATAATTTGTAGCTGTTCACCTTCAAATGGAGGAATGCTTCTTTTTACATTGACTGACCTGCTAAGAATCACATCTGGGTGTAGGATGTGATGAAGGGCGCAGGAGAGTTGAGGACGCTTTGAATAATCACACGCTGGAGGTCAGATGGTAGAAGTCAGGAGGCATGGAAGTGGTCGTATTCACTGAAAAAATAATTTGTAGCTGTTCACCTTCGAAATGGAGGAATGCTTCTTTTTACATTGACTGACCTGCTAAGAATCACATCTGGGTGTAATGTGATAGGGCGCAGGAGAATTGAGGAGCTCTGAATAATCACCGCGGAGGTCAGATGGTAGAAGTCAGGAGGCATGGAAGTGGTCGTATTCACTGAAAAAATAATTTGTAGCTGTTCACCTTCAAATGGAGGAATGCTTCTTTTTACATTGACTGACCTGCTAAGAATCACATCTGGGTGTAGGATGTGATGAAGGGCGCAGGAGAGTTGAGGAAGCTTGAATAATCACCGCTGGAGGTCAGATGGTAGAAGTCAGGAGGCATGGAAGTGTTCGTATTCACTGAAAAAAATAATTTGTACCTGTTCACCTTCGAATGGAGGAATGCATCTTTTCACATTAACTGACCTGCTAAGAATCAATCTTGGTTGGGGAAGTGTGATAGTTAGGGCGCAGGAGAATTGAGGAGCTCTGAATAATCACCGCGGAGGTCAGATGGTAGAAGTCAGGAGGCATGGAAGTGTTCGTATTCACTGAAAAAATAATTTGTACCTGTTCACCTTCGAATGGAGGAATGCATTCTTTTAACATTAACTGACCTGCTAAGAATCACATCTGGGTGTAGGATGTGATGAAGGGCGCAGGAGAGTTGAGGAAGCTCTTGAATAATCACCGCGTGAGGTCAGATGGTAGAAGTCAGGAGGCATGGAAGTGTTCGTATTCACTGAAAAAATAATTTGTACTGTTCACCTTCGAATGGAGGAATGCATCCTTTCACATTAATACTGCGAGACATCTGGGTGTAGGATGTGATGAAGGGCGCAGGAGAGTTGAGGAAGCTCTTGAATAATCACCGCGGAGGAGGTCAGATGGTAGAAGTCAGGAGGCATGGAAGTGTTCGTATTCACTGAAAAAATATTTTGTAGCTGTTCACCTTCAAATGGAGGAATGCTTCTTTTTACATTGACTGACCTGCTAAGAATCACATCTGGGTGTAGGATGTGATGAAGGGCGCAGGAGAGTTGAGGACGCTTTGAGTAATCACCGCTGGAGGTCAGATGGTAGAAGTCAGGAGGCATGGAAGTGTTCGTATTCACTGAAAAAAATAATTTGTACCTGTTCACCTTCGAATGGAGGAATGCATCTTTTCACATTAACTGACCTGCTAAGATAATTTGGTAGAAGGATGTGAGGAAGGGCGCAGGAGAATTGAGGGAAGCTCTGAATAATCACCGCGGAGGTCAGATGGTAGAAGTCAGGAGGCATGGAAGTGTTCGTATTCACTGAAAAAAATAATTTGTACCTGTTCACCTTCGAATGGAGGAATGAATGCATCTTTTCACATTAACTGACCTGCTAAGAATACTCTTGGTGAGGATCGATGGAGGGTGCGCAGAGAGTTGGAGGCAGTTGATAATTCACGCTGGATGGTCAGGATGGTAGAATCAGGGAGTGCATGGATAGTTGTTCGGTATCAAGTGAAAAAAAATAATTTGTAGCTGTTCACCTTCAAATGAAGGAATGCTTTTTACATTGACTGACCTGCTAAGAATCACATCTGGGTGTAGGATGTGATGAAGGGCGCAGGAGAGTTGAGGACGCTTTGAATAATCACCGCTGGAGGTCAGATGGTAGAAGTCAGGAGGCACAGAAGTAGCCGTGTCAACTGAAAAAAAATAATTTGTAGGCTGTTCGCGTTTATGGAGGCGAATGCTTCTTTTCACATTGACTGACCTGCTAAGAATCACATCTGGGTGTAGGATGTGATGAAGGGCGCAGGAGAGTTGAGGACGCTTTGAATAATCACCGCTGGAGGTTCAGATGGTAGAATTAGGAGGCACAGAAGTAGCCGTGTCCACTGAAAAAATAATTTGTAGCTGTTCACCTTCAAATGAGGCGAAGCTTCTTTCACATTGACTGACCTGCTAAGAATCACATCTGGGTGTAGAATGTGATGAAGGGGAATGATACGGCTGTCGATAATCGACCGCTGGAGGTCAGATGGTAGAGATTAGGAGGCACAGAAGTAGCCGTGTCAACTGAAAAAAAATAATTTGTAGGCTGTACGCGTTTATGGAGGCGATGCTTCTTTATATTGATGACCTGTAAGATCACGCTGGGTGAATAATCACGACTGGGAGGTCAGGATGGTAGAGTTAGGAGGACAAAGTTGCCGTGTCAACTGAAAAAAAATATTTGTAGCTGTTTCGCGTTTATGGAGGCGACCCGATGCTTGCTTTCATGACTGGACTGCTAAAGGAATACATTGGGTTGAATAATCACCGTTGGAGGTCAGATGGTAGAGATTAGGAGGCACAGAAGTAGCCGTGTCAACTGAAAAAAATGTAGGCTGTTCGCGTTTATGGAGGCCGATGTTATTTTACAGTTGATGACTGCTAGAGTCACATCCTTGGAGGCATGTGATGAGGGGCAGAGAGTTTAGGACCTTTTGAATAATCACCGCTGCGAGGTCAGATATGTAGAAGTCAATGGTGTATTACTTGAAAAAAATAATTTGTTAGTTTTACTTTGATGGAGGAATGCTTACTTTTCACAGTGACTGATGTAAATCACATCTGGGTGTAGGATGTGATGAAGGGCGCAGGAGAGTTGAGGACGCTTTGAATAATCACCGCTGGAGGTCAGATGGTAGAAGTCAGGAGGCATGGAAGTGTCGTATTCACTGAAAAAAATAATTTGTACCTGTTCACCTTCGAAATGGAGGAATGCTTCTTTTCACATTGACTGACCTGCTAAGAATCACATCTTGGGTGAAGGATGTGATGAAGGGCGCAGGAGAGTTGAGGAAGCTCTTGAGTAATCACCGCTGGAGGTCAGATGGTAGAAGTCAGGAGGCATGGAAGTGTTCGTATTCACTGAAAAAATAATTTGTAGCTGTGTCACCTTCAAATGGAGGAATGCTTCTTTTTACATTGACTGACCTGCTAAGAATCACATCTGGGTGTAGGATGTGATGAAGGGCGCAGGAGAGTTGAGGACGCTTTGAGTAATCACCGCTGGAGGTCAGATGGTAGAAGTCAGGAGGCATGGAAGTGGTCGTATTCACTGAAAAAATAATTTGTAGCTGTTCACCTTCAAATGGAGGAATGCTTCTTTTTACATTGACTGACCTGCTAAGAATCACATCTGGGTGTAGGATGTGATGAAGGGCGCAGGAGAGTTGAGGAAGCTCTGAATAATCACCGCGGAGGTCAGATGGTAGAAGTCAGGAGGCATGGAAGTGTTCGTATTCACTGAAAAAATTAATTTGTACCTGTTCACCTTCGAATGGAGGAATGCATCCTTTTCACATTAACTGATGACCTGCTAAGAATCACATCTGGGTGTAGGATGTGATGAAGGGCGCAGGAGAGTTGAGGACGCTTTGAATAATCACCGCTGGAGGTCAGATGGTAGAAGTCAGGAGGCATGGAAGTGGTCGTATTCACTGAAAAAATAATTTGTAGCTGTTCACCTTCAAATGGAGGAATGCTTCTTTTTACATTGACTGACCTGCTAAGAATCACATCTGGGTGTAGGATGTGATGAAGGGCGCAGGAGAGTTGAGGACGCTTTGAGTAATCACCGCTGGAGGTCAGATGGTAGAAGTCAGGAGGCTTGTGGAAGTGGTATTACTGAAAAATAAATTGTAACCTGTTTCACTTCGAATTTGGAGGAATGTTTCTTTTGCATATTGATGACCTGCTAAGAATCACATCTGGGTGGTAGGATGTGATGAAGGGCGCAGGAGAGTTGAGGAAGCTTTGAATAATCACGCTGGAGGTCAGATGGTAGAAGTCAGGAGGCATGGAAGTGGTCGTATTCACTGAAAAAAATAATTTGTAGCTGTTCACCTTCAAATGGAGGAATGCTTCTTTTTACATTGACTGACCTGCTAAGAATCACATCTGGGTGTAGGATGTGATGAAGGGCGCAGGAGAGTTGAGGACGCTTTGAATAATCACCGCTGGAGGTCAGATGGTAGAAGTCAGGAGGCATGGAAGTGTTCGTATTCACTGAAAAAATAATTTGTACCTGTTCACCTTCGAAATGGAGGAATGCTTCTTTTTACACATTGACTGACCTGCTAAGAATCACATCTGGGTGTAGGATGTGATGAAGGGCGCAGGAGAGTTGAGGACGCTTTGAGTAATCACCGCTGGAGGTCAGATGGTAGAAGTCAGGAGGCATGGAAGTGGTCGTATTCACTGAAAAAATAATTTGTAGCTGTTCACCTTCAAATGGAGGAATGCTTCTTTTTACATTGACTGACCTGCTAAGAATCACATCTGGGTGTAGGATGTGATGAAGGGCGCAGGAGAATTGAGGAAGCTCTGAATAATCACCGCGGAGGTCAGATGGTAGAAGTCAGGAGGCATGGAAGTGTTCGTATTCACTGAAAAAATAATTTGTACCTGTTCACCTTCGAATGGAGGAATGCATCTTTTCACATTAACTGACCTGCTAAGAATCACATCTGGGTGTAGATGTGATGAAGGGCGCAGGAGAGTTGAGGAAGCTTTGAATAATCACCGCTGGAGGTCAGATGGTAGAAGTCAGGAGGCATGGAAGTGTTCGTATTCACTGAAAAAATAATTTGTACCTGTTCACCTTCGAATGGAGGAATGCTTCTTTTCACATTGACTGACCTGCTAAGAATCACATCTGGGTGTAGGATGTGATGAAGGGCGCAGGAGAGTTGAGGAAGTATGAATAATACGCGGACAGGGTCAGATGGTAGAGTAGGCGCATGTAAGGTTCGTATTCTTGAAAAAAATATTTGTTACTGGCACCTGGCGAATGGGAGAATGATCCCTTACATTGACTGACCTGCTAAGAATCACATCTGGGTGTAGGATGTGATGAAGGGCGCAGGAGAGTTGAGGACGCTTTGAATAATCACCGCTGGAGGTCAGATGGTAGAAGTCAGGAGGCATGGAAGTGTTCGTATTCACTGAAAAAATAATTTGTACCTGTTCACCTTCGAATGGAGGAATGCATCTTTTCACATTACTGACCTGCTAAGAATCACGTCTGGGAGTAGGATGTGGATGAGGGCGCAGGAGAATTGAGGAAGCTCTGAATAATCACCGCGGAGGTCAGATGGTAGAAGTCAGGAGGCATGGAAGTGTTCGTATTCACTGAAAAAATAATTTGTACCTGTTCACCTTCGAATGGAGGAATGCATTCCTTTCACATTAACTGACCTGCTAAGAATCACATCTGGGGTAGGATGTGATGAAGGGCGCAGGAGAGTTGAGGAAGCTCTGAATAATCACCGCGGGAGGTCAGATGGTAGAAGTCAGGAGGCATGGAAGTGTTCGTATTCACTGAAAAAAATAATTTGTACCTGTTCACCTTCGAATGGAGGAATGCATCCTTTCACATTAACTGACCTGCTAAGAATCACCAATCTTTTGTTGAAGGGATGGATGAGGGCGCAGGAGATTGAGGAAGCTTTGAATAATCACCGCTGGAGGTCAGATGGTAGAAGTCAGGAGGCATGGAAGTGGTCGTATTCACTGAAAAAATAATTTGTAGCTGTTCACCTTCAAATGGAGGAATGCTTCTTTTTACATTGACTGACCTGCTAAGAATCACATCTGGGTGTAGGATGTGATGAAGGGCGCAGGAGAGTTGAGGACGCTTTGAGTAATCACCGCTGGAGGTCAGATGGTAGAAATTAGGAGGCACAGAAGTAGCGTGTCCACTGAAAAAATAATTTGTAGGCTGTTCGTCGGTTAGTGGAGCAGATGTTCTTTCACGTGGGGGCTGATCCTGTAAGAGATCGACACCTGGGTGTAGGATGTGATGAAGGGCGCAGGAGAGTTGAGGACGCTTTGAATAATCACCGCTGGAGTTCAGATGGTAGAAATTAGGAGGCACAGAAGTAGCCGTGTCCACTGAAAAAAAAATAATTTGTAGCTGTTCACCTTCAAATGGAGGAATGCTTCTTTTTACATTGACTGACCTGCTAAGAATCACATCTGGGTGTAGGATGTGATGAAGGGCGCAGGAGAGTTGAGGACGCTTTTGAGTAATCACCGCTGGAGGTCAGATGGTAGAAGTCAGGAGGCATGGAAGTAGGTGTCCACTGAAAAAAAAATAATTTGTAGGCTGTTCGCCTTCATGGAGCATTTTTCTTTTATACATTGATGACTGCTAGAATAATTGTTGAATAATCACCGCTGGAGGTCAGATGGTAGAGATTAGGAGGCACAGAAGTAGCCGTGTCAACTGAAAAAAAAATAATTTGTAGGCTGTTCGCGTTTATGGTAGGCGAGCGGTTCTTTTCACATGAGGCTGTAAAGAATCAATCTGGTTTGAATAATCCGCTGGAGGTGAGATGGTAGAAATTAGGAGGCACAGAAGTAGCCGTGTCCACTGAAAAAAAATAATTTGTAGGCTGTTCGCCTTTATGGAGGCGAATGCTTCTTTTTACATTGACTGACCTGCTAAGAATCACATCTGGGTGTAGGATGTGATGAAGGGCGCAGGAGAGTTGAGGACGCTTTGAATAATCACCGCTGGAGGTCAGATGGTAGAAGGTCAGTCAGATGGTGGATACTGAAAAAATAATTGATCTTTAACCTTTGAATGGAGGAATGTATTCTTATCTTGATTTATGATGCTTGCGAATTAATCTGGGTGTAGGATGTGATGGAAAGTAGAAGAAGTTGGGAACGCTTTGATTCCGAGGAGCGTAGCAGGCTAGTAATCGTGGTTGCCAAAATAGACACAATGACAATGAAGATACAATAAAGATAATTGTGTTACTGGGCTTTGAGGGAGAGTTCAAGGGAGGTCTGCAACTCACCTTCTGAGACGACGATTGGTCATTGCATACATATGGCGGAGTAAGTCGAGTAGATTGAATAATTAGGATAATTTCGGCTTTAATATAGCATTACAGCTAGTCGTTCATTGTACACAGCATTGAGAATATTTGTTTTGTTGATTAGACACAATAGCTTGGTTCAAAGGTTTGCAGTTTGCAGTGTAGAATAAATAGGTCGTTTATAGAACGTTTTTGTAAACAACATTTTTGATCTTCCGCTGTGGTGAAAGAACCTTGAGCGATTCGGCGTTCCGAACCCTCGATAGTGCAACATACAGTTGGCCGTGAGAAAAGACATCTTGCGGAAGAAATATTCCAACTTTTGATAATGTCTGCCCCTGGGCCTTGTTGATGGTGGTGGCGAAGGCAAGCCGGACTGGGAATTGTCGCCTTCGAAGTCGAAATGGCAGTCCTTTGTCTGTGTAGTTGTCTATGCGAGGGATTAGGACGAATTGATTTCTTCTGCTTCCGGTAGCAAATCGGCATCCAAGAACATGCTGACCACACTCGTCGACAATCAATCTAGTGCCGTTGCAGAGCCCTTTAGTTACGTCAAGGTTGCGAAGCAGCATGACAATGCAACCTTTCTTCAACCTGAGTTCATGCGGTGGCATCCCACTTGGTATCATCTTATTGAGATGCTCAATTTGATAGTTGAAAGCATCTTCCGGGTCGGCGTGCTGTGCTTCATCAATACTCTTGTATACTCTCAACTCCAAATGCTCTGGCATTCGCTGCAGTGCTAAATCGTTCATTTGAGCCACATCCATATTTTTAGGTGCAAGAATAGCCTTTTCCGCCAATTCTGTGATGTCGTCCACGGTAATGACTTCACCAAATACGTCGCTTATAAGATCTCCGGTGCTATAAAACGAAGTTGGCAATTCGATACAACCGTTTTCGTCCTCTTGGTACTTCCCTTCACCAATCTCGAGCAACAATCTTGCCCAGTTACCACTATCTGGCGCCGCTCTCATGTTAGTAGAAAGGTGG